ACCCAACGATAAATGTGAGAATTTTTCCAGCTATAACATCAGTATGATCATCTGATGGAGCTTTATAAAATTTCCATAAAGCTTCAGTAATAGATTCCGTTGAGATTTTTTTTCCTTTGATTAATTGTTTGAGGATCTCTTCAAAACATAATTCTTCTGAAAATGTTGCACCTTTAAGAGCACGAATTATAGCACGAGCTTGATGAAGAGGAATATGTCTAAATATCAATCGATCAATTATGAATCATTATTGATAAAATGATCAAAGCTCTAAAACGTTCAGTAGAACTATTAGTCAGATAAAAAAAAGACATTCTACTACAGTTTTTAAATAACGTGACGATACGAATGGATGCTTTCATAATCAAAAGTGCTAGATTTTAGATAGTTAACTTCGAAATAGAAAAGTAGTCTTTTCGAAAATCTCATCATGCAATATCCTCAGAAACGAGTCATTTATAGTTAATATAACATTTTCACAATGGTACGACTTCGCCAAAACTCTCCCTCTCTCTCTCTCTCTCTTAGCCAACAAATATATCAGTTATATCCTTTGATTAGAACAATAGTTAACTCTACTGAACTAGCACCAAGATGAATCTATTCGCTTTGCTGCCGATGAATTCAGAGTTAAACGTCTTCAATCAATTGATACGATGATAATTATTTTTCATACTACTAGCTTTGTATTTGTTATAGTCAGACTGGCATCGAAAGAAATCAGTAGCCTTCTTAGACTAGTACTTAGCGTTTATGATATACTCAGGAAAGGCTGCCTATCTTGTCAGATAGCTAATAGAATTAAAGTTGGTCCACACCAACTGACTAAAAATAAGTCAATAGAATTTTACTTCGATCTTCAAACACATGCAGAATCAATCTAGTTCAAGTCTTCATGTATTATTTTTGAAAAACTAAATCCACAATCTATACAGTAGCATTCTTTTGGATTCACGAACTGTCTTTTTCTTTGAATAAAAATATGAATCTAAAAACAAAAACTACATACGCAACAGGCACTGTTGGAGCAACATCGAAATAGATTTTCACAAAAGCTTGTGTTATTGCTTCACATATTGACTTATCAACAGACCAAATAAGACTAAACATTAAACGTAAACTTTGTTCAATATTTGGCAAAACAAGACGATAATGGCGAAGATTAACAAAAAAATCGACTGCTTGTTTACAGTCAGCTAATGTTGGAGAATTAAATAAATTTACAACATGTCGATTTGCTTGTTCAATTAAATCCATAAATCGAAGACCCTCCTAATTAGATAAATTCATATGTAAAACAAACAAACATGAATTTATAATTTTAACAAATCTATTACTTTATACAAAGTAACAATCTCTTCTATACGCATTATTTGTTCTTCAAGTTTAACACGATCTAGCGTTTCTTGAAGAGATTGATCTTCATTTAGATTATTATTTTCTTCTGTTGGTTTTTTCTATTTAACGGAAAATTTAAAAAAAACAGAAATAGTTTTCTTTTTGAAAAACGTTTGTTTTTTCTACTTGATTATCATCAGCATTCATTTCATCCTCTTCTGCTCCACTATCTTCATCTTCTGATTCAGATTTTTCTTCTTTTGTTTTCTGTTGGCCTTTTGTATTTTTATTCAATTTTTCAAGTACTTCACGAAGCTCAGCTAATTTTGTTTCAGCATCATTTTGCCGTTCTTCAAATTGAGTTCGCGTTGAATCCTATGTAAAAAAAATAGAATTTTATTATCGAACAAAAACAATTCGTATTGAAATGAACTTACAACAACAAAATATGGATTATTGAGAACCATATGCATAATAAGTGTTACTGCATCTTTTCGAACAGCACAAGCTGAATCTCTTAAACGATCAAGTCCAAGTTCAAACGCTCGAATATATTGTCTAACAGGAATCTTTTTCTGTTGTACAAGTGTTGTCCATAATTGTAAACAATGTTGACGAACAAATGCTGTTACATCAGATACATGTTCCTAATCGAGTTTTTGGAAACCAAAAAAAAATAGATCATTAAGAAAACAGAGATGAACTTACACGTAATATTTGTAAGAGATCATCACGCATTTTTCTTTGACCATCATCTAAATCATCTGATGAAAGAAGTTTTTCAATAACTGAACATAATGATGTCAGAGCAGCTACACGAATATGATGGCTCTAAAGTATAATAGAAATAATTTATATTGAACTCCAATAAGTATTGACACTTCTTCTATGGTGACATGTGATTTGTTTCTTATGAATTGCGATGCTATCACTAGTCTTTCCACAATAATTGAATGAAATAAAATTCTATATAAATTTGACTTTCTCAGAGTGCCCATGTTCATTTGAACATCAGTTTCATACAGGAAAATCAGCGAATGAAAATTATCTAGTCTACAGATATATGGATTTTATTTGATAGTATCTAGCCACTAACATAATGCTGCATCTCTATCTATGATATAGTAATGTGTAAATTGCTGCAGTGATTGTGAATACTAATAGGACAATAATTCGGGAATGTAATTTCGAAAATTGCTTTTAATAAAATTTATTTACCTTAAGAGTTAACAAACTACGTATCCTTCATTCACACTCATCTCATATGGAGGAACCTCGAGCCTTCTCGTCTACTTGAACACCACAATTTTATTTGACCAAGGTCTACCTTACATTCAAAAATCCTATATGTAACTTTTTGGCACCGATGAAATTTTATCAAATCTTTATAAACATTGAAACTGGCATTTTTCTCTCTTGATCTCTATTTTCGTAGAATATTCAACATATTCAGAATCAAATGACTTTTCAAACGCTAAAACTGTCATTGTGAGTAATATTCTTAGATAATTCATAGCAAAAGGAAAAAATCTCAACCAAAAAGCATTTGAACAAACCAATTGAGCTCTGATGAAGTTATCTAATTTCATAGTTGACTAACTTATCGAATTAAAATTTAGAAACTAGAGATGTACGAACATATCGATCGATGTCTACTTGTCATCCGCTCAATATAATAAAGAAATCTTTTTTTTTTCTTTTGTAAATTACTTCAGCTGTCAACAGATCAGATATTTGATCAATATGTGTTCGTATAATATGTGGATCAATTCTAGCCATATCAACAATAAATGTTGCCATTGTTTTTGCAGATGTATTATCAGCTTGTGCAGCAACAAAATTCGTCTCACAGATTTCTCTAAATAAATTTCAAATTTCGATTGCACAAAATCGAAAGAAAACAATAATTATCTAAACAAACTTTAATAATTCAATAGCTAACGACGTATCTTGATAATCGATTAAAAGTGAATTAAGAACTGTAATCAATAAACTTGAATTACTATCATAGAGTTTAACTGCTTGAATAAATTGAATGGAAGCTTCTGAAATAGTATAATTAGAAGACAATAGTATTCAATCATTTGAGTCATTTAAATATACCTCGTGCATGTTCAAATTTATTAATCATAATCGTAAGAATCAATGGGAGACTTTCTTTTACAATTGGATTCTTTGCAATATCTTGTCGACGAATTAAATGATAGCATGGTTTAGTTACGCATCTTTGAAAAAATTAATTTCAATAATGAAAAACAAAATATGTTTTTATTTTTCTTACTTAACAAATTGTTCATCAATTATGGATGAATCCCATAATGGTTTAATATGTGATCGAAGTATATCAGAAAGACCTTTTAAACATTTATCTCTCAATGTATCTGATGTTACTGTTGATTTTCCACCACTTTCTGCTTCTTTAGTTTTTTTACCTTTCTATTAATAAAAATCAAAAAAGGAAAATCAAAATAATAGCATAGATAAATTTATTGTTCGTTTACTTTTGGTGCAGGCATATCAAAATCTGATGACTTATTAGCTTGATCGTTATCAAATCGAATAATATATTCGGCAAGTAAACATGAAAGCATTTTAATAATGTTTAAATGAAAACGTCGATCGTCAGCTGAAAGACCAATATGAATTCGCCGTTGAGCTTCAGACATTTCACTTGCCGTTACTATTGTTAAAATAATTCGTATAAAGAAAACAAAAAATAAGAATTCTCACATCGAAGTAATATTTCCACTGCTTGTGAACGTCCAGTAATTGCTACTTTATCGAAATGTCTATGAGAAAAAGAAATATTCTAAATTGAAATAAAAAAAAAACTCAAAAAATTCATACATAGCAATACAATAGAATAATGGAAACATTTCAAGTAGTTCTTTTGGTTCTCGAATTCGTGATAGATCTGTATCAAAACAGAGAAGAATAAAAATACACAGTGAATCTTATTTTATTTTACTTTGTAAGCGTGTATTAATATCGGCGAGATCAAGAACATTTTGTACATAATAAGAGCCAGTCGCAAGTTGTTTCTGTAGATCTTCAAATTGATTTGGTACATCAAATGTTGTCCATCCATTTACTGCTACTTCACTATTCCGTATAGACATTCTTTGTTTGTCTCTCTTCTAGAACAAGATCTCAAGTAAAATAAGGTGTAATACTTGAAAGAACAGGTATCGAAACCAATAATTGACAGACTGAACACAATAGCAGATCGCTTATTGGCTATTTATTCTTTGTTCACAAAAGAAGAAAGAACAAACTTTCGAAGGAAACAAAAAAGTGATTATTTTCGTGTTTAATGTCATAAACAACAGGAAAAATATGTCAAATAAATTTTCTTATAATTCAACTTTATTAAATAAAGATTTCTTTCTCGTGTAAATAGAGTTAAAGTATAGAAAAATGAACGAATTCGTTGAGATGTCGCCCACATACACAAGTAGATATCGTTTCCATTAAGAAACACAAATGGATTGTAAGAGAACAAGTAATTGAAGATCACACCTATATGTGATCTTGGATAAGAATTTATTGAAGTCAGTCGATATATATTATCATAACAATAGAATATTTCAGTGCAAAAGTGATATGCTAAATAAAGAAAACTATTCCAACGATGATTCATTTTTCTATTTCTATACGACTAAATGATTTTAAATATAAATGTGTGTTTATCAATCAGTGACACAAACAGGTTTTTCGTTTGAGTGGTAGGTAGGGCGGCGCCCTACCATGCCCACTCCTGGTTACGCCACTACTGCACATGTGCCTTTGTATATTTACTAATTTTTAATAAACTTGTTTAGGATACGAGTAATGATAATGATTTAATAAATCGTGCGATTTGCGGTGGTTTTCATGATGCTACAATTCCCGCATTGGAAATACAAATTCGTGAACTTCGTGTAGCTCTGGCCGATGAGATCAAACTTCGCACCACTGAACGTGCAACTCTGGATGATGAACGTACAGCAAATGAGAAAGACAATCGATTTCTCAAATGAAACTTTTTTTGTCTTTCTAGTTTTAGAAAGAAAAACAACGACAAAAAATCATCAATGTATTCACACTATGTGGACGAATATCTTTGGTAATCATTCATCAATATTTTTATCGTGTAATTGCTTCTATAAATTGGTGCAGTATCATTCGCTTCAGTAATAGGCCTTGGCGCCTATTTTCTCAAACCCAAATAGCAATACAAACCAAATGATGTTGCGCTCCCAGGTCGATCGTTCCGGTCACCAGATATTGTAGGAACCGGCCGGAAAGATGCGGAAAAATTACCGTATTTCGGAGGAAAACACGGGAAGTCGCCGGAACGTGGAAGTAGTATTCCGATCGGAAAATTTTCGGAGTTTTTTCCGATGATTTACTGTCGGTTCCTACTGGAAAGCACTGGAAGCTGGCCGGAATACTGCTTCCATCTTCCAGCGATTTCCGGTCATTTCCCGTCGTACCGCCGCGACCTGGGGCCATAAAAAAAGAAAAAGACTCGAGAGACTACTGGGAGCTATTTCTTACTAGAATTTATCGTCTGTGATAATATTTCATCACGCCATTATCCTTATTATCACTTGGATCAACGCCTACCTATTCACATATATTTGTCTAGATTAAGCTGTAAATACTGAAGAGCTGTATAGAATTTATCCGAAAATACTCAGAGAAGTTTTTGGAAGCCACAATAAGCTCCAATAAAACAAGTTCTAATAGCTGCTGAATTATATATGACGTTTCTTATCTGATTAAGATATGCTTTATCTCAGAATTAAAAAGTTGTTTTTATTGAAAATGTACGTCACGGATAGTTTGATTTTTATCAAAATGAAAATATTACATTTGTTTAGTTTAGGATGATGCATTAATAAAATTTTTATGTTCTCATCTTAATCGATCAATCAATACATCAATAACATCATTATCAAAATCAAATTCTTGGAATTTATTTGATTCTCATATTTTTCTTTTCGCTGTTATTATTTGTTTTGTTCTTCGTTGGGGTTTATTTTCTTAAGCTGTGTCAAAGTGCACTTGTTCTGTTTCACCTAATTCCTTTTCTTCATACATCGAAATCCTGATTAAAGTCATAGTTTACATTTGTTGTTATTGACATTGATATGTTTTTTTTTGATTTATTGATGGTTCATTGTACTGAAAGAGAAGAATAAGATATCTAGATAGATGTAATGTTGATATTGATCTACTTTGTTTGCAGAGACAAAAGAAACACAAACGATGCGAAATAATGAAAAAAGGAGACTTCTTGAAAATATTAAACAAGAAATTCGTTCATTATGAATTAGTTCATCAAAAACTAAATATGGAGGATTATCAGGCTTATTACTATATTCGGATTATAAAACATTAAATCTTGGTATAGAAGTGCCATGTAAGTTATTTCTTATTTAATGAATGCAAGAGAGAACAGATAGTTCACATCGAATGTGATTTGAGTTCTTTTTAATAAATGGAGAACACTTTGAGAAATGGAGTCCTTTGAAAAGAAACGTGTATTGACATTTTTTTCTTATTTTTGTAGTTTTTAAATGAATAAATTATTCAACATGTCTGATCAGGAAGAATCGTTTGAAAATGCTTTGATTTCCAGTATGTAATAGTTATCTACAATCATTCCATATCGATGAAGAACTCCAAAGAATTTGTATAAAATTGTTCGAAATTTTTTAAATGGCGAGCTCGAGATTTTCCAACATAGTCCTGTATTAATTTAGAATGAATCGTCTCATTACTGGTTCCATATCGTACAGAAAATGACTTATTTTATGATCGTATCGAGAACAACCCATTTTCATTCGTAGCTTTTATTTATTCAAGAAAAATATGTGAAATAATCTGTTTTTTTTAAGCTTTTCTTTCTATCATGCAAAAAAAGCTAGCGACAGACTACATGAATGTTTGCTTTGCGTCGCACTAAAAATGACTGAGGCGGAGCGAACTCTATCAAAGAGATAGTTTTTTTTTTATGATAAATAAGCAGTAATAAAATCAGAAGTCTATTCAAGAGTAAACGTAGATCCTATTCCGTTGATCTGGATTTTAACGGCTTATGAGACTTGAGAATTAACAAAGAAGTTTACTAACCACTTGCAGTTCTTACAATTAGAATTACAAATCTGTCAAAATTAGAATAGAAGGCTATTTAATTTCTAAACAATAAATTTCCAATCACGATCTCTTTTCATATTGTAATATTCATGGCATTGATCAGTAAATTTCTTCGAAGTGAAAGCAATAATAAAACATGAATGGTGACTGAAATCATTTTTAGAAAATCGATGCCGAGAAAATTTTTATCAACGCGCTGATACTGATATTTATAATGAAGAGAACAATATGGTTTCTGTATCTATTGATCATGATGAATTACTATCATTGAAACTACTTGTTTTAGAAATTTAATCATCGTCTATTTCTCATTAATAAACATTCAATATTAAATGATCTGATTTTTAACCGATTGTTCATTTTTTGATCGAAACAAGCATTACTGATTTGTGAAAGACTGAATATTATTATTGAGAGATCTATTCTCGAATAAAAACTTATTAGAACGCAAATCTTTTATGAATCATTTCGTATACTGATAGATGATACTCATCAGAGCTATAGGCGAAAGCTTAGTGCAATCGTATGAAATAACATATCCTAGCAGAATATGAAATAGACGAATGAAAACGTAGGGAAAATGTCCACGATGCAGAAACGAGTACGAAACCTTGGGGCTCATGAAAGAGGGCTTATAGCAACACTTTGATACTGTAATTCTAACTGTAACATTTTTTTAATTTATTCAGTATCGGAAATGATAAAGACGTTATTTGCAAGTGATTCGTATAGCTGATTTCTTTGATAGTTCGAGTTTTATTCTTGTTAATAAAAGTTATTTGTCAGCTATTAATCAACTGTGATCCATATTTCATATCCATGTTAACATAGACACATAAATAAAGATCTATTTGCTATATATTTTTAATGCTATTTGATTTGATAAAAAAATTGACTGAATATTCTATATGATTCAGTATACTAAGACAAGTTAGTTGTTCAAATGAAAAAAGAAAATTTCTCGGCACGAAGAAGACTATCTTTTCCATTTTAATAAAATCTGTATTTTGCTATTAATAAGATGCAAAAGAAAGAAAAAAATATTCATTACATTAGCACTGACTAAAAACTCGATTGCACGAGCGTTTCAAAGTTTATTTTTAACAGATGCCCATCATTATAGGAAATAACTACTTAAAAACTTATGATTATAATTATGAAAAAGTGATCGCATTCACGAATTACACCGTAACTAGTCGATAAGAATAAGACTATATAGAAAATATATTCTTGTTTCAACAACGAATCTCATATTGCAGAATATTCATATTGACATTTTATGTATTAACTATTTTTTATCGAATGTTAAGCTGTTGTTATCCAGTACGTAACATTCATTTATAATGATGAAATTTATTGAAGAACGCTAAGTAAAAATATATAATATCCGGTCATCTCTATTGACTTATTCATGATCTATGAAATGGATCGTTATTTTCTAAATATATTTCAAGTATAATCTTATAATTGAACATAGTAGATTTTGTCAAGAAAATTTCAAAATCATCGACCATATAGACTAATGTAACATATTTTATAACGACAATGATAATTATGAAATTGTTTTCAAAAGACTTATCTAACAGCAATCGACAACAGAAGATATCTATTTGTTTTACATTGGCATAAATCATAATCTTAAATTTAATTAAAATATTGGTGATATATTTTTCTGTTGAGTAAATATAATATTTAAATTGAACAACAAATTCATGAATTTTTGTAAACAAATGATTATAGCTATGTTGTTTATATATAAACATGACTAAATCTATCTCGAACATAAGATTTGTATAGATAGACTAGTCGAGATGATGTAAATTTAAACTAATGATGCAGAACAAAGCATTAAGGCGAAAAGAAAATAATATGACGATTGTTTTCTCTTCGGGCTATCTATACGTGTATATATATATATATATATATATATGAATTAGAGAATAGATAAACGCATTTGTTCGGTTAATTCTACATCATTAGGTGGCACGTTTTTACATCATCGTCATTATCAAGCGAATTCACAACGAAACTACTAAGCATAACTAGTAGTGATAAAACCTATTTTATTTTACTCTATCTCGATAGAAACATAAATCAAATATGGCCTGTTATTATAACATTCCGAACAAAGTGAATTTGCCGCTTATGTCACCTTCAAAAGATATCGATCCGATTTTTATCAGTAAATCCAAACCATCAATTATCATTGAAAGTGAAAAGAAAACAGCAAGACAAATAAAACATCGCCATCCGAATATCAGTAATGCAAAAGAAAATACACCTCCAAGGCGTATTGCAACATATAATAAACTTTATAAACCATTGCAAACAGTGGTTAAAAATACTGTACCAAAGCCAGGTTTGTTTCAAATATTTATTCTATAATTCAAAAAGCAGGTGTTGTTTTTTTTCATCTTAGATCCTCGACGTCTGTTTAATTTTATTGATACTAATACGGATTCTCGTCTTAGTTACCTTGAATTTCGTTCTTGGATGCTTGTCATTGATAAGACATTAGCTGAACATGAATTATTCCAATTATTTAATGAAATAGATCGAAATAGTAAGATGCACGGTCAATTGATTTTCTGTATTTTTGATTATTATTTTGTTTTTGCAGGTGATGGTTTTATTCAATATAAAGAATTTCGAGATTATTTTGGTGAAGATCTTTTAACAGATGAAGCAAATGTTGTTGAATTAACTGCTTTATTTAATGAAATTAATACTGATAAATCGAGTTCTATAACACTCGATCAACTTTTAGCATTTTTTAATAGAAATTCAACAATGATAACAGAACAAGAAGCACGAATTTTTCTTGGTATGGTTTCCGATGCTGGAAATGAAAATAGCATCTCACTTAAAGGTAAATTGTTGAAAAATAGAATTTGCTAATAAAATACTTTTAATTTTTTTAGAATTTTTAAAAGCAATGCATGAATGGAAAGTGTAAATGAAATATCTAGAAAATTTTTCAGTCTATAATTATTATTATTTTTTCCCAATTTAAATTTTTATTCGTTGTACTATTTTTTTTCGTTCGCTTTATTTTTAATAAATATACTAAACAACAGAAAAGAAACAAAAATGACGATGATAAAGTTTTGATTAAAACAAAACGAAGCGCAATAATAAAAAATACAGATTAAATAGAAGCACCACATTCAGTAGATTTATTAGGTCCATTATATCTTGAACAGATAGATTTGATTAAACTCTTTTCATCACGTCCTTCTGAACATCCATACCAGGTACCATCATGCATACACCAAAATTTTCCATTTAAATGAATGGTACAAGATTTTGTAGCAGATGCTGAACGTGTTTTTTCTAGTGATTTATGGAATAGTTCATTGGCTTTATCAGATTTAACACATGCGTCAATATCTGACCATTTCAATGTATCATCCGATGTTTCTTTGACACATCGTTCACCGTTGTCAGGAATGTTTTCGAGGTTTCTTGATTGACACTGAAGGAATTTCAGTAACGTTGTTTGTGAACTCATACTTTGTACACATAATTGTTGTTTATTACCAAGACATTCACTTGGGCCATGCATACATTCGAATTCATTTGATTTTTTTTCATATCCAATGTAGGATACAGTAAAATTAACAATGGGAAATAGTTTCGACAAAGTTGGAGTAAATAATAGTTCGCATTTTCGTGCATCAGGACATTTTGACATAACAAAAAAGTCCACACGCACCGGGCTGCCAGAAACAACTGGATTAGAAAAAAATGAAGTGTATGTTATTTTTGTCGCTGTTATAAAAGGAAAATTTTCGTTCAGTTTATTACTAGATATTGAATCAGGTGATGAATAAGAATTATAGAGAATAGTTGTGCCGAAAATTAAGATGGCTGCAAGCAGCAGAAGAGTAAATTTTTGATTCATTGGTAATCGTTGAAACCAGTATGCACGACGATAATACTGGCGCTAGAAGAGAAGAAAAAAAAAGAAGTTGCATAGTATTTTAGTTGTTACTTTCATGTGAAAAATTTTCCGAATAATTAATTGCTTTTGAGTTGCGTCTGCATGCATTATATAAACTCAAACGAACTATGAATATACTGAAAAGCATTCGAAACCTTAGAGTGTATATGTATGAGAATATTCTTTTTTGTGCTTACTCTTCATATCACTAATGTGATCGTCTTCAGAAATGTCAGGAAAAAATTATGTTTACATTTCGACATAAAGTTCTGTATAGAAATAGATTTTGAACAGTATCCGTTTTTGGAAGAAGTTTCAAATTTTGTCACTATTCATATTCGAAAGACAAAAATATAATAATAACGTATCTTTTACATATTCACCTATACTGTCAGATTTGGTGTTCTTATTTCTAGATTGAACTAGATCAAAAGGCATGAAACATGCACAAAAATGAATTCTCCTGAAGACTTTTTTCCATGTGATGTTCGAATCCAAAATTCTAAGATTAGGACTCTTGATACTCTTGTGGGAATTATGATGTCTATTTTAAAAATAGCATACTCATGTTGTAGTAGCACTCTTATCATGAGCTAAGAACATCAACTCTTGTCAAAATAGTCGCAGCTCATATGGGTATACATAGTGCGTATAGTCTTGATGCAAAAATAATTTATTAGCTGGATCACGGACTTTCGTGTCAAATGTCATCAGGTGTTGCTATGAAGTATTTCTTAGCACGATAAGTGTAATTGGTAAATATGAAATTCATCATCTAGTAATGTACAAAGCAGAAAATAAATTTATTCGTCTGATAGAAATAAACAACAAATTTTGCTCATATGGAAATGAACCCTTTTTGTTCTAAAAGTGTCTTCTCCCTAAATCGTTTATAGTTAGCTTTATAAATAACTTCGATAATATGACTAAACAGGAAACATGATTCATTTCTTTTATTTTAATTTTAATGAGTTCTGTTCTGCGTATAAATATTGAATACTGTTGTAATAAAGGTCCTGTAGTGATGTAGGTTTTTACTTGTAACGGGCTAAGCTATTGAATCTGTTATATCTATGTTGAGGGATTCATGTGGGCACTACCAGTTTTGGAGGAAAAAAATTATATTTTAATGTAGATCCTCAATACAGCTCATTTATAGACATTAAATATATTAATTTACATTCAAGACAATCAGACGTTCTAAACAAAGTTTCAGTATGACATTGTACTATAAAATCTTCTCGAAAACTAAAGGTTGTACAGAAGTCATTAAAAAAAATGATACATACAAAAACTCGATAACCTATATGAATCACAAAAGGAACTCAGATCAATATTTGGGCTTTAACTAGGACACGATGTAGTATCTGTCGACAAATATCATTGACATGGAAATAATGAGGCAGCTGAATAGGTTCTTTCATAAGTTATGCTATTATAGAAAGAACAAATGACACTGTTTTTCTATTTTCTTTTCAAATGAAGCCCCGCTATTAATTTATTTAAGTCATTTCAGTATTTCTCTACTTTGATTGTAGGTATAAAAAAAAATGAAATATTTACTTATAGTGTTTCGTAACAAAATTCAACGTGTTGCCTAAAAATGTGATCATAGTATTCACATTTTCTCTATGGGACGAATGAGAGTACGTAATCATTTCATATTACGTCATTTCTAAAGCCTTTCTTTAGAGAACTAAAAATCAATTATTTCTTTTTCACTTGGTGTTTTTTTTCACATTAAAGGCAACTATTCATATTGGAAATTCTTTCAGTTTACCTTTTCTTTATCAAAAACTAAAATTTACAAAAAGTTCAATCTATTTGTATAGCTTACCAGAACGGTTTGTTTTAGTTCGACATACAATGACATAATCGACTTTGATCACAGAAACTAATTTTCTACAACTAAAATCTTATTGTTAGAAAAAGAAAACATCACGACATGCAGATTTTATGAAATAAACATGTTCGATAGAATTTTCATTTGTTTTACTTTGGATCAATAATCAATCGGATAAATATAAGAAATAAAATCTTACGCATATATGCCAAGGGTGAACAATAATGAAAAAATTACATGTGAAAAATCTCACCGTTACACACAATTGAATATGTGAGATATGACGAACAAGTTATTTAGAAAAGGAAAAAGAAAAAGAATTCTGAATTGATACAAAACAATTTAAAGGAATATTGATGACTAGAATAGACGAAAGGAAACAAGAAGACGAAAATGGAATGATAAAAATATATTAAGATAAAAAATTATTTATTATTTTGTAATTGTAAAGACATAACTTCCAAGTCTTTTTGCAGATGCATATTTTTTGTTAGAGTTTCTTCTAATAACCGTTGAAGATTTTTTATCGTATCATCATTTGGTGATTGAGTTTTATTGCCACTTAAACTTTCAAGCATATTACGAAAATTTAATGATGTATTTGATTGTCGATCTGTTGAAGCATTTTGTCGACGACGAGATGGTGGAGTTAAAAAACGAGTATTTACACCTGTTTTTTGGAGGATTTTTATAATACACATTACAATATTTGTTTAAAAATAAGAAAGTAGTTTTTACCGGAAACTGCTCCACGTTTATCATTTGAATAGTGTTGAATAAGATCATTGGCCATTCCAGAATTCGATGATTCTAAATGTCGAACTTTTTCTTCAAGAATTGAGCGTTCATCTTGGACTCGAGCTAATTTTTGTATCAGTTCTTTATTTTCTTGTTCTAATGCAGTTGAACTCATTTGAGTTGATGCTACTGACGGCTATCATAAGATATTTAAAAAAAAGAGAAGAAAATATTATAAAATTTCAATGATTTCAATAAAATTACCCTATCCATATATCCTATTCCACTAAAAGATGAAACTGACCTAGAAAAAAAGCATAGATGAATGTATTTGATAACTGTTAAAGTATTATAAAAATTGACGTTTGCAAAGTGAACATTCACCTTTCTGCTTCTTTCAAAAGACCATGCAGAGAATTTTGAAAACAATAGGTTAAAATCAGAATTTCACATGATTGTCGATGCATGTTTTCTGATTATTTTACAAGATTGGAGAAGTTCAAACTTGAAAAAAATCCTCTCGCTAATCATTCGTTCTGTTTTGAACTTCGGTTGAATGTTTGACTAGAATTTCTAGCTTAGCAATTTAAGACAATCTTTCAGTTAAATTTAAGCAGAGAAAACTCATTATAGAAACCAATGGAATACATTGTTTCTATCGGGGCCGATCAAGTCACAAGTAACTATACGCTGGGATATCATGTATAAGTATGATAAGAATCAAGAACTTCTACGAGTTACACAATTCAATATCACACATACAGAACGAGCAAACTTATTCCGATAGAATTCAAAACAGATAAAATTATTCTCTACGAAGTAATCTAAAAACCAAAAATTCATAAATGGCCGAGTTTACTGGAAAACTCTTTTGCGTATAGAAGCCGAAAAAACTAGCATGGTGCATCTCATATATTGATTTTTCCATTCACTGCATTTGAAATCATTTTTCTGTCTAAACCATCAGATTTTCGACGTTTTGAAATTCGTCTAAACTTCATCTAAAAAGCCTCTAAAGTACCAATTATAACTCCTCGAATAGAATTCTTGAAAAAGAGTTGCGAGTATATATTTAGAATAAATATAAAAAGAATTTTACTTTTCAGGCTTCTCTACGAGACGAAGAAATGAGCGAACATTTTGTTAGAATTATTTTTCAATTAGACATTAGAAGAAAAAACAAAACGCAATTTATACATACGCTGTATCCCCTTGACGACTTCCATCTGTCTTAGGTATGTAAAATAGATCATCAAGTGCTAGAGAAAGAGAGAGAAACAAACACATTTATTATTATATTGTGATGTTGATGCAAAAATAGCAAACCAGCTTTATCCCCTGAAAGTAGTTCCGTCAATTTTTCTTGCATTCGTTCATTTTTCTTTTTTTCGGCTTGTAATTGTTTTTGTAAATCTTTGATCTGTAACGTAGAAAAAACAAACTTCTATGTTATAGATTTCATTTCGTTAAAATAACTAATAACAAACCAATGTAGCTCCTTTTCTTTCGTGTGCTCTTTTTTCATCAATAAAAGTCGATGCTTCCTATCAAAAATTGAATAAAGAAAAGGTAAGACTTTTTTTTGTAGATAAATATATTAACTTGTTTTAAAACGTCAATTTGAGCATTTAACTCTTCGATTGTATGAGCTTTTGTACTGAGAATTTCAGTTAAATTCTATACAGAAAAAAAACCCTTTTTAACAATGTAACGAACAAGAAAAAAACACTATTTACTTGAAAATCCTCTTGATGTTTCTGTCGTTCATCGTCAAGTTGTTGTTCGTATTGAATTTGTTGTTCATTTAATTGTTGTTCGTAAGTTTGTCGATTTTCAATTATTTCCTTCTATTATAAATAGAAATTATTCATAGACATATATATATAAGAGAAATGAAAAGAAGATCGAGAAAAAATACTTGTAATTCTTCGAGGTGAATTGTTAAAGTTTTTTTAGCTTCGCCATCAGATTTAATACGATTCTCTAATTCTACACAGCGCGATTGATATTGTTTCAATGTTCGATCTTTTATCTAAATGATATTTATAGTATAATTAGCTTTCGTCTTTCGTATGTGGAAAAATCAATCGTCCTTCATCGTGTTTCGTTTATGCCAAGTAAAGTAAAAATTTGTCTCCTTTCTGTTTACCTCTTCATTATTAGTAAAGTAAAAATAAACATACAGCTAAGATGTCAAACGGATTCATCCGAAACTTTGAAGTCTTCATAACATGTTTATAACTCAACACATTGTTTTGAATGTTCACTGATAATATTTAAGCAATATTCTTATTTTTTTTACTTTAGATTTTAAGTATTATTAGATGAAATTTCGAGACTTAAAAAAAATATAAGCAAAGAAAACTATTTATTTATACCTTTAATTCATTATTTTCCTTTTCAAGTCGATCAATATCCGTTTGATATTTTTCTTTTTGACTTTGTAAAGTTACTTTAGCTTTTTCGTCAGCTTGCAAACTATTCGTAGCCATTTCATCAATAATAGTTTTACGTTGTTCAGCTAACTGTAAGACGAAAAAAAGAATGTAGATTATCATTTTTCTATTGAAACCTAAAACGTACGCGTTGATGAGATTCACAATCGTGTGTTTTACTTGTGACTTGTTGTTCAAGTACTTGAACAGTTTGCATTAATGTTTCATAAGCTTCTTTTGATTGCTATACAATGATAAAACAAAAATTGAACAATCAATAACGTTTTAATTCAATTCAATTGAATTTTCTTAACGAAATTCTATCACACCTCAAATTCTGTACGTAAAATATCGTGATCAATAATCATTTGGTTAAGTAAAGATTCTTTATCTGCAAGCACTCGTAGATGTTCAGCATTAGTCGTGCGTAATTGTTGATTTTGTTCAGCAGCTACAGTGCCAATCTGTAATAAAAGCGTTAAGAGCAAGCAAATAGCATAGCATATTAGTCTTTCTTATATAGCAAACCTGCGATTCTAATTGATCAATAGCTATTTGTGATTCATTCAAACGCTTTTTATAATTAATTATTTCTTCTTCTTTTGTCTAAAAAGATTATTATTTTAATGAAAAAAAAATGGAAATTTCCTCAGACGATTACTTTAGTTACTGTTTGTACTTCATCTTGCAGTCGTTTTATATCTGATTTCAGTACGTCGATCTGTAACTCATTTGCTGTTTTAGAACTACTATTATCCGTACTAGAACATTTAAACAAAATACAAAAAACTAAGAATCTCAAGTATGCGTTTTGTTTTACATCATATCTTGAATACGTTTTTCAAAATCATGCTGTAAACTTAAACAGGCATTTTGTTTTTCATCAAGTTTTTCTTTTAACTAAAACAAAACAAATATAGTTAATGTCTTTTTTTTTCGTCATGAACAGTAAATTATATATTCTTACATCTTCAATTTGTTTCAAGAATTTTGTATTTGTTTCATTCGATGAAATTTCCAATTGACGCAGTTGTTCTTGAAGAAGACGTTTTTCTTCTTGTTCAGTTTCAAGACGAATACTATTAGCTAGATTTAAAAAGTAACAAATGATTAGCTAAGTAAAAAGATGATAAAAGCGAAAACCTACCATCGAATACTTTTGTTTCACCATTCGTTGGTTTTGTTGAAACAACATGTACAAGACCACCTTCACTACTGATGAAATAAAACAAAACTAGAAATATTTAACTGGAAATATGTTTGTATTATAATATGAGCTATAACTTGATTCTGTCAGTTTATTTTTCTCTTGAATTATTAAATTTTATAATCTAGATAAAAATAGTTTAATGCACTGCTGACATTTTCATCTGACAATAGAATTATAACGAAAATTCATCTCACATATAATTAAATCCTTAATAAACTCTTTTTTTATTATTATGGTTTATATTAAATATCAAATTTCGGTATTAAACTTGAATTTTAATTTCCAAAAAATATTTTCTCAATCGATGAAATTCTGTGGACTTCTTCTTGTGAAACTGCAATGGGTCATGTGGAAAACAATTATTATCATTCCGATACGATAGAAATTTCTATTAACATTCCATCTGTAATTCTGAATGATTTTGTCGAATTTCTCCTGAACTCTAATATCGAAAGTGAACAAACACTCTAAACATGAGTGTTATAAAATGATTTCACTCGAAGGAAATTAATACAGGTTTGCTTTTATTTGATTATGTTAGCGTCGAAATTCAGACTAAATATCGATATTATTATGAAGGAAGTTCCAGCGAGATTTTCACGCTATAAAAAGAAAATAAATCTAGACATAGAAATACTTGCAATTATTTCTGATATAATATTACTATACAAAATAAGCAAAAGCATATGATGTTTGATTGAAGGAAATAATGAATATACATTATACGCCTTCGAGTAAAAATCTCGATATAAAATATTCAGCTGCCAAAAAGGCATAAAAATGGAAACAAGATAAATACCGATTGTCGTCGCATTCTACGTCGACGTCTTCTTTTTGAAATGATTCATTACTTGAACTGGCTGTTGATATCGATTCTCCAATTTTTGCTGATAATTCTTTTAAATAGAATTTAGTTTTGTTCTTTTTTTATTGAGAAAAATAAACGAATTTCTGTACCGGCAAATTTCTGTTGTAGAACATTATTCTCTGCTTTTAAACGTAGATTTTCTTTATGAATTGAATTCATCGAATCTGTAGTATCATTGGAATGATTTTGATTTGTATGGCGACCTTCTTTGTATGATTTTAGTTCATTTTCAAGTTGTTTAACCTTTTTGGTATACTAAAAAGAAAAGAGAGTATAAACCAATCAAAGTGTACGAACTACACAAATTCATCGATCGAGGTTCTCTCTCTCTCTCTCTCTCTCTGTCTCTGTATCCGTTAATATGAATATATAAATAGGAAAACAATTTGCCTTAAAGTAACAAGAGTAACATTATATTTACTAATACATATGGTAAAAGGATTTACGTAAGTGAAATGATTATATTTCTCATTAGGATAAAACTTGAGTTTGTTTTTCTATTCTTACCCAAACATTTCATCTAAACAAACATTTTTTACTTAACAAAAACTGATTTTTTTCATAAGTTGATTAATGTCTCTGAGTTCTTTTTTTTTTAATTTTTGAGTTTTCATCTAATGTTACATACTAGTTTTTAATATTTATGATTCACTCGCTATGAAAAATACTTCTTTGATGTATTGTTCTATCACGAGCGAAGTTAGAAGCGTACCACTTCATTGATATGCGTAACTTATGTAAAACACTCAGATAATCGTCGTTTTATCTGGTAGTATTAATTCAATATAGATTATTGTCAGATAGAAGTTGATTTATTCAAAGAAACTTTTATTAAAGTCTACCGTTTCTTGGGAATTAATCCTCTTTAATCCATTTTATTGATCGATGATCAGCAACAAGCAGTTTTCTTAATTGATCTGGAGTTTTCCTTTATGAATAAGGATGTAACAACATCATTTTGAGACACATAAAGCTTGCCAATTTTCACAATGAAAATCTACCAATACCAACCAATACTTTGCGTTACTTATACCCAGCGAAGTCTGTTCTATCTGGTAGGAGTATATAAAATACCAATACCAACAGAAAAGATCCCCAGTATTAGTGAGTTTTCGTGAAAATTACCGTTTTTTTACCAATACTCACTAATACTGGCGATCTTTTCTGTTGGTATTGGTAGATTTTCAGTGTGAGAATTGGAAAGCGTTATGTGTCTCAAAATGGTATTGTTACAACCCTATTTATGAATATGAAACAGAAACAAGAAAAATAAAATATGTTATTCACTGTTGTTTATCATCAATATCTTTACAATAAACTATTAACAAGTCTATGACCTTGACATTTTTGTTTCGATTTTATTAATTAACCTAGTCATATCTCTAATAATCAATTATCGAACATAATTATTATTCTGTTGGTATGCGATGCAAAATAATTTTTTTTAATTCGTACGAGTTTTACACTATGCAAAATGTTAATCAATATTAAATGGATTTATTATATCCTCTAGAAAATAATTATACGATATGGAGCCGTAGCTTTTCTTTTTTTTTTCAAAATTAAAATAAAAGCTTTTAACACATAAGAAACTATCCTATTTTTATTTAGCTGTCAGGAAGTCCCACCAAGCAGCTGAACGACAAAAGTTACTATTCAGCAATGAAGTTTAATTTGTTATTATTTATAAATTTTTTGGATATTTTTCTTTTAATTCATGCCACTGAATCATTATATTTTGGTATTATTAATCATAAAGCACAATGGCATTTTCATTGTCCACACATTCATTCAAAAATTACAGATCCTCCAATAAATGATCAACCTTTGATATCATATGAGTGTCCACATCGATCACCAACAATGGAAATTGTACCATTGGAAGTTGATTTTACTTTTTTATGTCGTTTACAATCTCGTTTAATATGGATCATTATTGACCTATATCAATATAATACATTTTTCTGGTTGATCGATCGGAACAATATTGAAGTAAAAATTATGTTAAATCATGAAATTCAAATAAATAATTCGACAAATGAAGCGAAAAATTATACAAATCGTTTGATCCTAATCGATGCATTTTATATACCATTTGAATCCATTGATTCAATATTAAATGAACAAATAGAAATAAATATTGTATTAAAGAATTTAAATCAATCAAATCAATGTCAATTTTCTATCAAAGATCAATATTCATGGAAAACACTTATCGGTAATTATTGTGATTCAACTCAGTCAAAAACTATTTTTACGCAATCTGCGAAATGTGATTTTTATTCAACTAAGTGAGTTTTCTAAATATCAATAACGAAATATTTTAAGAAAATCCGATTATTATTTTTTCTTCGATTTTAGGCCAAATGTTGTCGATATAAATTTTCATGTTCATATCGAAAATGATACTTTTCAAATCGAGACAACTAGTAATACACCTAATTTTAGTATTATAGATAGACTATCGTCAACGACCACTCAAATATATGATGTTGAACAAAATACAGACATTACTTCAACAACAGATTCAATGCCTTATCAAGATTATCAGTTATTAATCGAAGAAAATTATCGTCAGATTTTAATATTATTAGTTCGATCAGTAATCAATTCGAATCTATTAAAATTAACGTTACTATTTTTAATAATTATTTTAATACTATTAATAACATTTTTTCTCTATATGCTTTGCTACCATTATCGACTTCGATCGAAATCATCATCAATTAAAAGAGCTTCATTATTACTATAAATTTCGGAAAACAAAAATTCGTGTTTATTTACTTCATTCAATTCGCGCATCATTGTTTCATTTTGTAGTTTAAATTCTTCTTCTTGTGCATGTAATTTATGTGTGAGTGCATCATTTTCACGTAGAACTTCATCGATATCTCGTCCAGCAGTACGACGAATTTTCCACGATAACTAAAATATGTGCATATTTTTCAGCTATTATTTATTTAGAAGTAATAACATACTTTTGCTGGCAATCGTAAATTAATACTATCTTTTTCAAAACTTTCAAGTTGGGTTTTTAATTGAACATTTTCTAGTATGACAAAACAAAATAGAAAAAGTATTTATATGTAGTTGAAAAGATTTTAATAATAAATATTAAATAAAAATCTATGCTTCTATTCATGAGTCATACTTAGAAATCAAATGATAATCTCTAATATGTAGGTCTTGATGGTACACCATCTTCACTTATTTTAAACGATGTGGTTCAAAGTGACGAAATTTTTCACTATTTTCGAATGTATCAAAAAGATTTTATTTTGAAGTATGTATGATTGCAAAAACTGTTAGTAAAATCTGTGGAAAAATCTAAAACTATACCGTTACGAAACAAAAATAACAGCATCGTCTTGGCACCATTGAATACCTTCGAACACGTTGTAATAAACAAAATCTTATCGGTCACTTTTCACACAAAAACTAGTTACAGTTAAAATCAAAATTTGGCAAAAATTATTGTTTCGGAGACACGAAAGTTAATAACACACTTCTACAAGATAAAAGTGTACGATTTATACAGTAAATCTTACTCATGTAGATCTGTGTACAAAAAAAAGTTAACTGTATATATCTAAAATAGAAGTTTGATCTATGCAAAGCTATCAATTGGTAGTATAACTTTTGAAAAACTCAGATGATGTATCTTATGCCTCCTACAATCTCATTGTGATGATCGACATAAGATCGATTCGTGCATCTAAGGTTCTGCAATGAAATACTACGTCTAATTGTCGTTCTTGTAATAAAATTGAATGTTCTATAATCTTCTTGTACAGACGATTCTGTTCTCGAAAGAGACAATTTAATACAAACTCAATCCGTTAATATTTTCCTAGACATAACATAAACTTCTCTTCTATTTGGCTCTTATTTTGCAATCTAATAATTATTCTTAGTACATCTTGTGTTTTTTTCTTACAAAAGAAAACTTCTGTTAGTTCATAAAATGAGCAGTATGCTTAATTATTCTACGTACCTGTTGTTAATCTTTTATTATGGTCTTCCAATTGATATTTTATTGTTTTAAGTTCAACCAATTGATTTTGAAAACGTTGAAATTCTTCATCGGATACAGACATAATCTAGAATGAACTGATTTATAGAAAAAGACAATTGATTTTCTTATTTATTTCTGTTGCCAAAGTATATTCGAGTTTCGTATTTTGCCATACAAAACCAAAGTACACATATAATAGAGGTAAAAGATACACTCATTTCAAAAAAAAAATGTTTGTCAATGATGAACACAGTTAAGTTCTGATGAAATATGAAAAAAGAAACTTATTATGCGCCCCTATAGGATTTTCTCGAAGCATAATAAACGAAATGACATGAAAAAAATTACATATTTAGTGAATGAATATAACAAAGAGTAAACAAGAGAAGAAAAGCACAAATTTGGAATTATTGTTAATAATCGCTTCGATGTGTTCCTCCTAATATAATAAAAAATAGAAAAGAGTCAGTAGAAAATCAAGACTTACGCGATGATTTTGTAGGTTTTTGTTTATGTAAATGAGAACGAAGATCATCAGCTTCTTGACGCTGAAAACAGTTATAAAATAATAAATTTGTTCTCAATAAAAACTTTATGTTATTCGTATCGATGAATAAGGTTAAGATAATGTAAAATTTGGCTAACTTAACTTTTCTTTTTTTTACTAAACATAAGATTTTGTTCGTTGGTAAAAATATTTAGACGTATGTATATTTTCATTATAGAAAATAGATCTGCTAGGAGATTTTCTTGACAGATCAAAAGTGTATCAAAAAAACAAAAAAATCTTGACGCATTTTTTCCTCTACTTTACCTTACTAATCTAGCTCTGATATAAATAGTTGTTTCACATTTAGCTTATCAAGAAAAAAAATCTTCACTATATTTTTATCAGCATTACAGTAAATCACATAACATCATGCTGAGTTCCTCTTTAATTAATCTGAACACCAATATTGATAACAGATAGTGTAACTTTTGACTCTAAAACACCGATGTTTCCTATATTAACTGAGTTTGTAAACTTTTTAGAAATCATTTTTTTCAAATTTAAAGAATTAATTTTAGTCAAATAATTTCTATAGAAAAGCCAAAAGCGGTTTATAATAATTATAGCATGTTACTGTTATTGGCATGAAAAATTTATTAACTGTATCGGTACAGAAGTATGCGATGAAAATGAATTCATGCTGACGAGCAAGAAAAGCCACACTTCTTGTAGCAACAGTCGGCAAGTACTACTTTTTATTTGAATACAGTGTTGTTCTTTATTTTCTATACTCTCTTTTAGCTTAATTGCCTCTTGCATTTCAATAGTTGCATTCAGTATCAAAAGAAAACAGTCAACATTTGCTTTCGTAAATCTAATGTCAGCACTAGAATCGAAGAGTTCTGATGCTAACAAGTCTTTTAACTGAGCTACAACAATAGTTAGGGACCTCATTTTTCTTGTCACCGTAGACAAGATTTTGTTAGATTCATATGCAATCTACAGGGTGCATCTTTCATGACTTCGCATACTTACTTTTTGACTTGATCCATACTTTGATGATGATTGTGTAGGTGATTCTAGACAACAACAAAATATATATATATAAATGAATTGATACAGCAATTATGAAGTAAACTATACCGTAGCTGAAAGGTCTTTCTTTTGAGCTGTTGTTCGACGATGTAGAATTTTGCGCAACATATTGCGGTTGTCGACTGCTGTTGAATCGTTGTTGATGACGTCGATTATCTCGTTTACCATTGGTATCGTCGACGATTACTTCAATCGATGTCGATGTCACACTTCTTGGTTGTTGTTGATAATCATGACTGCAAAATGGACGAACACATACTGATTTGTGTAAAGCCCATTCTTTTTTATATCTCACTCACACACGGCCGTTTATGTGAGAATATAAACTTATTTTTTAATGCGGTCTACCTTTGTTGTTTGTCGTCTTTGATTGTATGCACTTTCGATGACATTGCTTTGTTACCCGTTACAGTTGATTCATCATCACTATTCAATTGATTGCTCATTGATCCATTATCGTCATGGCTGCTTTGATGTTTAGTTCGATTTTTACTTAGAGTTAAACGTAAGTCATGTGAAGATCCTTTACTTGCCGTTGCTTTGTCAATACTTCCACTCTGGAATTCGACTTTGCGACATGAATTTGAAGATGTTACTTTTAAATCTGTATCGGCAAGAGATATTATTGATTCAGTAGGTGCTAAAATTTTCGAAATAGTTGATTTTTTCAAAGAACTATCTGTATTTATAGATAGAGATGATTGCATTTGGTCATGATCATCTGAATAAAATTCAATTGTTGCATTTTCTTGTGCATCCAATGTCGATGGAACGACAATAGTTGGTGAAAAACGAGATTTTCCGTTTTTCTTACGAATAAATGTTGGTTGATCAGAACCATTCTTATTCGTTATAGTTACTTTCGTTGTAGCGGCAGTCGATGGAATCGGGTTTTCAGTGGATTCTTCTTCTGATACCTTCAAATATAAAAATGTACTTTTAACAAAAAAATATTCTATTTCAAATCAATTCGTTTTAAGTACATAACAAAAAATATCGAATCTCCACTAGAGAAACTTGCTCGTCAATTGTTCCAAAATTAATCAGCAAGAAAAAAATTGCAATAAAAAGAAAGAGTAAAAAATAATGATTTAGTACAGACTATTGTATTCATGTATTTCTTTTTTATTCGCCAAGTTGTAGTACTATTATGTCGAAAATGGAACGATTGTAAATTTTTATTGCACAACTAATAGAACTTCGAACAAAGAATGAAACAGACGATTGTCAACCACCACCTCATTAACTCAAATATTTTTATAACAGATTCGAACATGCGTCTAGTCCTTGAAACACTAAAAAAAAGTGGATTAAAGATTTCATCGAGTAACTATGAAACAATTTCATAACTAATATTTAATAAACAAAAAGAAAAATTTGTTTCCGGTTCGAGCAGCTTTTAGTCCTAGTTAGAGCACATCGTGATGTGTCTACGTGTCTTTTGTCACGTGATGTTGACCATAGTAGCGAATTAATGTCGATAAACAAATAGTTAGTATTAGCAGTTTCTATTGATTGTGCTACAGATTATTGACAAAACAAGAACGAAGAAAAACGATGAACACGATTAGTCAGCAACCGATTCTCTCAATATTGTCCCTAAACTTTTCTTCTCGCGAAATAATTTAAGGACAATACTAAATTCTCTAATCGTTTGTTTTTTTATAATTAAATTTTACTGAATATATGATTATATCAATCGAAGTAATTAAATGTATCAACAACGTACGTCTTTCATATCTTGATCAAGAATTATTGCTGTTTTTTGTTGAGGGTTTTCTTCAGAAATTGTTGATTTAACTACAACAGGAGGCTCACTATTAACTGCAGTCATACTTGTCGTATCATTCGATTGTTCATTAAAACGTTTTTCACGTTCAGCAAGTTCACGTTCACGTAATTTTATTTCGCGTTCACGATAATTAAGTTCAATTTTTTGTAATTCAATTTGTTTTTGTATAAGTGTTAAAATTTCTCTATTTTAAATTTCATATACAAATATTCTGAAAAACGCATCATTCACATATATCGCTATTTACTTTGAACAAGCTTCAATTTGCGGGTCATTACATGGTGTAGCGTGCATTGTTTTATATTTATTAATAAGATCAATAGTTTGCATGAAATCGCTTATAGGAAGATTTGGTGTTCTTGAAATTGAATTTATGGGTGGAGTTGAAAGTGATGATTTTGCAAAAAGAGAAATGTCATATTCTTGAGCAATATTGCTCATTTCGAGAAGACTTTCATTTGAATTTGGTTGAAGCATAGGAACAGAAGGAGTTGAATGAAGTTTAGTACTACATAAAAGAAAAGTTTAATTTTTGCAAATAAATTCATAATAGAATAGTTTACTCTGTTTTTACAGATGAACTTTCAATTGTTGCTGTATTATTGGTCTGTATAAATGGTTAATCTAGATGAATACGATAATAATAAAACATGAAGATTAGCTTACTCGAGTATCATGTGATTTTGTCAATTCATCTTCGGATACAAAACTTAAATCAGTTGTTTCATGTCCGGAAATTTTTGTTTTCGATTTTGATGGTTCATCGGCTGGTGAAATTCTTTGCAATACATCATTAGTATTGAGTTCTTTTGATGTCTCATGACGAGAACGATATGTTGGTGGACGTCGTTCATATGGTGATCGAGAATGTGGCCGTTTTACAGCAGCAACCGATCGATGATGTCGTGATGATGACGATGGTGGGGGTGGTGGTGATGGAGATGGCGATGAAACTCGATGATACCTTTGAGAAGGAGGTGGTTGATGATGATGATGTTGTTGATGAGGACGTGATGACGATGAACTCGATCGAGGACTTGAATGACGTTTACGAACATTCGATGATGGAGAATGACGAGTTGATCGATGAGCTAAATTTTCATTTGAACGTTTTATCGTTGAATCTCGTCGTGAACTATTTGATTGCCTTGATTAGAAATAAAAATAAATCAATTACAAGTGCCTGTCAATCAATCAAACCTGTGCCGTTCTTGTTCTTTATTCAGTGCTTCATTTTCATATGCAAGATCACTTGTATTAACAAGACACTCAACTGCATCAAAAGCAGCTGTGCTACGTGATGTTTGTCGATGAATATTATCCGAATTTTTATTATCCATTGTTTAATTACCAGCAAACATTCAGAATAACAAAAAACAATTTATAATCTAGAATAAAAATATGAAACGAACAAAAGAAAAACAACAACATCAAGTTTTTTTTGTTGCGGGTTCATTTTCAAGTTCCCATAATGCTATTTTATGTTCTTTTATAGCATCCTATTTAAAATCAGAAAGAAAAAATTATTTTGATAATAACTTTCTGTATTACTTTGATACACGCTTGATATTTTTTAAAAAGGTTAGTACACATATCAGCTTTGGTATCCCCTTTCAAGTAATTTTCACTAAACCATGAATTGAAACATGCATCATATTCGTCTTTTAATATTTGACACGATGGACTAATGCTACTCATCTAAATTATGATGAAAGAAAAGTAAAAAATTAATTTACAACATATTTATTTTAGTAATGACATCTAGAACAGAGCAATAAAATATGAAATGAATACTGATGAACTATTAAAAAACAAAATTGGGCATCGCTCTTAATCAATGGACATAGTCAAACAAAGATGTCGTTAGAATACGAAAAGGATTATTTTTTTTCTTTGTTGTTCATCAGCTCTTCAACAAAAATATGTTGCGGATTCCTCGATGACTCAAACTTACTGAGAAGATTCTACTTCGTTTAATGGCCTACTTGATTCATCGTTTTGAAGTGATGGACCGAATGCAATCGATTAAAGATCTTAAAATATTTTAAGATGTAAGTAATCTACGATAGGATAAGAGACACTTTATGTAAATGAAAACTTTCTATCGACAGATCTTAAAGATTGACATTGTTTGCTAGTGTTACGTTCGATAATTTTCAAGGCATTATTTTGGTTGCAGAACCACTATGAAAATATATTTATAGTTTATTCTTTACTTCCAGTTTTTATGTAAATATCAATTTTTATGATTGGCATCGGCTAATAATTGCAAGAATGAAAGAAATAATTTTTACTCTCTCCGATACTATCACTGACATTTATTGATATAAATGAAATAGTTTCCTATTTTGAGTTCATTCTCTTATTGTTTGTTGTCATGGATGAAAACAAAGTGAAGAAAATGAATGTCACCAATTGAATTCTTAATTCATTCAAAAATTTCTTTTTTATTCGAAAAATTTCTCGTTTATAATGAAGTGTTGAAATTAACTATGTAAAATGTCTTGAGAAAACATTGTTAACCTGTTATATACGGCTCATCGCCTAGAAAATTTCTTAAAGTCTTCATATATTGATTACAAAAATTTTCAAAAAATGTGGCATCAAAACGAAGAAAACTGTATCTATTATTTGAAGTGCTTATATTTTCATCAGAAGTTTTCAGTTGGTAATTCATGAATTGTTTTGCATCGTCGTATGTTTCTTCTAAGCATAGTTTAACAGTATCAATAAAAATTTTACAAAAGGATATACAGAAAAATCAGCATATAAATCGCAAGCAACTTACCAAATTTACAGTAAAATCTTCTTAAAAGAAATGTCTTAGGAATTTTGAGAGTTTTTTCGTGAAACACGCCATGTATTCCATGAAAAAATGAATAAAACTATCGGAACATAAGTTTGTTTATCATGATATTTTGAAAATAGAAATATATGCACTCGAAAATAAACTACTGACAGCATGCATTTGTAAAAGGTTTCAGTAAGAAAAGTTTTTCTACAGTTCAATCGATCGATGATAATCTTTTTGAATATTATTTGTAAATCGATTTATAGAAAATATTAACTACAAGTCTATATAAAATTGTATCATCACAATGCAATAGAATCAATTATGCTGTATGAGAAAATATTGAAATAAAATTTTGCTGAATTCTGTGTACTTTAATGATTTTAACTATGATAATTTTAAATTCTCAATGAAACAGTTGTGCAAGATTTTCTCAATAGTAAACAATTTATGTAATTATATAAATCATCATTTGTTTTGGTATCATTTTCTAGTATATAGGCTAGGACAACAGTCACAAAATACACAACTGAATACATTCATGGAATCATCAAAAAAAGAACACGCCTTAAAAAACAAACTATCCAATACACATGGGCAAAGAAACACATTTTCTGATTCTTGATTGTGTCAAATGTATGAATTAATTTCTTGGTGATAATGGACGTAGAATTGAACTACTACGATTTGAAGTATACCATACACGATAAGTTATAAACCAAAAGAATACTGCAATAACACCAGCCATGAATTTGTCCGGGGTTTTATGAAAATATAAAGCTGTTGATAATAGCATAAATTCCCAAAGAATAGTTAATGCTGCTATTAAAACGTACAGTACTCGGATAATTATATCAAATAGTGTCGAATATTGATTAGCTATATTGGATAATGTATCACCAACGTTTTGTTCGACTTTTTTTGCTTCGTCAACCTTTTCAGTACGTTTATCATATAATCTAATTTCCTCGTTCATTATTAAAATTGAATAAAGAAGTAAAAATATATGTCCACTAAGATCAAATCCTTCTTCCCATTCATGATCAGCTTTTTTACAAGCTCTTCTTGAAACTCGTTTCATTTTATTATGATTACAGATTCCTGTATACGATTCAATATAGACAAATAAGTTCGTAATTATATACCAAACAACAGTTGCAATAAGTAAACGAACTAAATGACGTGTTATGATTTCATAATAATTAAAGTTCTTTTTAAGAGTTATTAAAGTTAAAGGCACAAATAGCATCAATAAACTGAGCATCCATCCCCAACCAAATTTAACAAAATATACGTTAAATATGTTGTTTTTGGATGAAAAATATGAACTTGGTTGTACACCTAATGTTTTCAAAATTGAACCAACGATGATAATAATGAAAGCAAGAATTATTTTAAATATTACTGGTCCAAATATAATACAACGACTAAAATAATCGACAGGAGGACGAATTGTATTATATATCTCACATAGCAATGTTGATGAAGACGATGACACATCCGATGGTTTTGCATTATTGGTATGTGATTGGCGATTCGGCATAGTTATATTTATTTTTCTTAACGAAATTTTATAAAAATCTGAAGTATTTTATCATAAAAATCTGTTAAAGATTGAATATTGTGCATTTATCATGTGGTTACTTTAGTTATTATTATTTATTAAACTAGTTCTCTAAAGTAAATTATGAATAAAAAAAAAGGAACTAAATGAGATGGATCAATTTTCTTAATTTGATAATTATCTGAAAGTGAGGTTACTAGAATCTGGTAATGATTTGATATCTAAACTTAAATGATGACCATAGCTGATTCTCTCAGTTCTTTTAATTATAATAAAATTTGAAGAAAGAATTTACTGCTCAGGATTACCCCTATCCATAGCACTTAGAATATATTGGTTAGAAACCAGTAGGAAAAATATTTAAACAATAATAGATGTCATTAATTCATCAACTCACATAGAGTTTTACAGACGATGATTAATATCAGCCCACACTCTCAAGACTACTAGCTTTAATTCTTTTTAATTTTGAATTGTCCCTATAAATAATAATAAAACAGTCGCCGATACTCTTCTATTTCTTCTTTTTATAGCTAGTTTCATTAAACAAACATCTATTCGATCGATATTAATCGAATATAATTACAAAAAAAAACAGCTAAGGAAATTCTCAAAGATTTTTTCTCGAAAAATAGTGCCGACTTTGTTTGAAATTCTCATCATATCATGAAAGCATGAGTAAATGCTAGGTTAACGAATGAAAAAGATAAATATACAGCAATTCAGTCCATGTTTTACCAACGTTCGCTAGTGTATGGACTACAATATATATATGTGTTCTCTTTTTTATTTATTCACTATTGGTTATTATCGAGTTAACTGAATATAATCATAAATATTTATTTTTGATAGAAGTTGAAATGACAACTAATAATTCATCATTCGCAAATACAAATCGATCAGTAGGAAATTTAATGGCACCGAATGGTCAAGCATCAAGTAATTCAAATGAAAATAATAACAATAGTAACAATGAAGAAGACCAATTAAATCGTATTAATTTACAAACATTACAAAATCGTGATCCATACATATCAAAAATAGTTGATCAAGCACAACGTGTTTGCGTTTATAAATTTGTTGCTGAAAAACGAGAATGGGTATTGAAATACGTATTTAATCGTTATTATTGATGAGATGCGAAGCATAGCATTCATGTACTCTGTCCTGTATTGTTTCCTTTTTCTTCTTCTTTCTCGAATTGATCATTGCGAATCGTCGTTTTGTGACTCGATAATCTCGATCAGTGAGAGTCAAAGATAAGTCATTGAAGTTAGAGGTTAAAGTGTTGAGATCGAACTTCTAGTATATTTTTTCAAATCTTGCATGTCACGTTCCGTTCGCTCACAAGTATTGATCCAAAATGCCGAATTTGAAAGGAACTTGTCGTTACAGAGTTTTGTGATAATTAAGATGAAAATTGGATAAATTATTCAAAAGAAATTTTTCGTTTTCTTAATTCTTGAATGCGCAGTAAGAGAAGTAAATCTACGCGATTATGAAAGTAACGTGTAGAATACTGATTTTTATTGGCTTAGGACGTCGATTTAATCGAAGATACAAGTTATGCTTCGCATCGCATTTCATATACGAGTAAAACTCGAATACCATCTAGTTTATTTTTATATTCATGTTTTAGGAGCGTAAAGATCTAGAAGGAACTTTATTTGTTTATGAACGGTAAATCAGTAACCTTTTTTTTTATCACCTATGTTCAACTTTGTATTTATTCAGATTATGCAAACCATATCATGGTTTTGCTATATTGAGTACAGTTTCACGGGAAACATTTGTACAAATAATAAAATCATCTATGGAATTCAAACATACACCTGCTTATGAAGCATTTCTTCAATATAAAGTTGATGTTGGAGGTACCAAGTACTGTTTTCATTTTTTTTTCATTCTATTTGTTTCTATTCGATTAGATATTTATGGAATATGGTTTATTTCAAAAACTGATTGTCCTCGCGTAACAGAATGTTTAAAATGGTAAGGTTTTAATTCTTGGAAAAATTCAAACAAAGCTTTTGTTGTCACAATTGAATAGAACTGGTCGAGTCAGTCAGTTAAAATACTGTCCTTCAACTTGTGTTTTGTGCAAATGAGGGTGAAAAATATCAGAACACCTAGGGAAATTGAAATTCATGTGAAAAAACATCAAATTTTAGGAAAGCCATTATTTATCAGAAGTTTTCTTTTTGACTTTGTATCATACATAATTGGAATGAACAGCTAGAGCATACTGTTTCCGAGTGGAAAAAAATCATATTATATCTATGTTTTTCAGTAAGTAGAAATTAAATACGAGAAGAAACAAACATTATATACCGATTTCATTCAAAACAATCTCGTCAAGGATACTAGCCGAAAATCATTATTTTCAACTAATACGAGTATCATTCAGTGAGATTTTTCTCATTAATTCTAAATGGCATGCTTATTTCGCTTTAATTGAATTTCTGTTAGTAGAAATTGCATACTACGAATCTATGTTTATGGAGTTTTTGCTAACATATCGACAAACATTGAATTCCTCCTGATTAGAGGTGTCAGCCGAAGGGTTGAATGGCGACGGCGGGCAACAATTTTCAATTTTTGAAGATTTCCAGCGGCTCGTTATTTGAATGAGTAAGGTCTTCAGCGGCGGCTGCTACAAATTCTTAAAATTTTTTTTCACAGCGGCGGCGTCGACTGATATTTGTAAGTCCTTATGCGACGGCGGCGGCTCAGTTAAAAATTCACTGATGAAAATTAAAAGAAAAATGTTCGATTCGATCGCATATGTATTGATGTCAGCGGGGGCAAATAACGCTATTAAATTTTTGATCTCTTGCAGAGGCGCAACGGCTAAACTTGTTTTTTCGCAGCGGCGACTCCCCCAAAATTCTTAAAATTACCAGTAATTTGGTGGCTGCGGCGGCTCAGCCGTACGGCTGACACCTCTACTCCTGATTACATAGACAGTAAAATAGAGTGCGAAAACCTTTGGATAGATATCGAGACTAAATGCTGTTCGTATATTTCAAATTTTACAATCTTTTCTAACTATCCCTATCGATCTATGATTTGCTCATGTTGTCAACAGTATCGATAAATAATAACAATTTATTAATTTCAAATCAAAACTATTAATTATTAAATTTTAGTTTAACAGAAAAAGCAAAAGAATATGAACAAACAAAGCCAGCTGAAAATGTTTCTTATTTAACATCACAAAAATCAAATGAAATAATTTCTTTGTTAACCAATGCTCATGATAAATTTGAAGAATCTGTAAATAAAATAGAAGATGATTCTTTAGTTTTTTTAAATTATTTTCATTACCATATTCTTTTTTTTTAATTTAGAAACGTAAACAACAAGTAAATAACAGTGAATCGTTGACGCAAATGCCGGCTGTACTTTTACGTTTATTTTCTACTCAAGAAACATCAACTCAATCAACTATTGTCAATGGTGAACGCGGAGAAGAATTAAAAAGAACATTAAACATTTCAGGAAAATCAGCGTTAAGTGTAACTGAACTTGAAAAGCAATTACTTCAATCACCATCTTCTCAAAATCAAGAGACCACAAAACCCGTTCCCGTTAATGATACTCTTGAAAAATTTGTATCACTTTCACCAAAAGTAATTCAAATAGTACTTCGTTTTGGATTAAGTAAACCATTCGTTTTGTAATTCAGAGTCAAAATCGAACTGCATCTCAATCGATCTCACCGCATACAGTATCCAACTTACAACCGACCACTCTTCATTCGAAACCTTTTCATGAAGTAAATTATAAATTAATTAAACAATAGATTATCTATTATTTTATGATTATAGCTTGATTCTATATCAACCAATGCTAATCGTTTAATGACACCGGCAGATTTTAAAACTTTACGTTTGCCAAAATCACCAGGTAACTGGCAATTCAATCATATTTGTTCAATTTTTAAATGAAGTGCTTCATTCAGCAATGTTACATAAAGATAGTTTTCTTTTTCAAAAACTTACAAATCAATTTTCATCACATTTACTCGAAATTAATTTATTAGATAATTAAGATCGAATCCAAAATAGAAAATTTACTTGATTCACTTAATTGAGTAGGGAATACACTGCCTAACAGTTTCACATCAGTGATTCAGTTAATACAATTGGTTAGTGGTTTCATTCAGTTTCTATAAATAATAGTAAGTATGTTGTCAAATATTTATAGCAATGCAGTTTATAGTTTTTAACCAAGAGTAGACTCGTCGAATCGAGGATTTTAGAGTATGGATTCTATTTATTCTTTAGTGCTTAAATCTTAATTACAACGGTTTGGTTGAAGCACTTTTTTCTCTTGTAAATTGCATTATCTTTTCAAAGAGTTGACATTCACCGTGTCTTTTTCAATTATTTCTTTTCGTTAGCGAGCAAAGCATAAATATTTGCCTTCTAATGATCACACTGTACGTAAATCATACTTCAATAGAATAAAGTGTTGTGGGCGAGAAAAATTTGCAAAGTTTTGACTGGGCTACCAAAACGATATTTTCCTAATAGTTAGGTACTAAATAAATTAGTTAAAATCGATAAAAGTTCATCTTGATTTACTATCCTTTCGGAATTAATGTATTGTTTAAAAGGAAGCGATGATATCTTTCTAAAAAAATCATCTTACAGTACTTTAATATCGAATTCTACTCAAAAATAGATCTCATGTGCACTGTTATGATCTTGAAATCTTACGTTAAAAAGTGTATTTTATTGAGATGTTAAATATCAACAAGATAATCATTCATCACAAGAAAAATTAAGAAAACTCAGCGCTGTGACTTTGCGATACCTTTCTAGTAGTAGTTAGGTTAGAGCTAAAACTCGAGATATTCTAATATTCAAAATATTTACCTAAAATCAAAACTTCAGGTCGGCTTTTAATAACTTAATTCATTTCTACTATTGAAAAAAATAACTTGATGGAATCCAATTTGAAAAGTAATGTTGATTCACTTTTTCCCTCGTGGCTTCTTTTTGTTTTAAAAATTTCATTGAAATTGTATTTCCAAGTACATGATTTTGATTAGTCTATAATAATTCTTACTTTTAGTTCATAGTGCACCAGCTCAAGCTGAATCATCATTTTCAGCATCGTGTTATCAATGGCAGCATCCACAATCTCTGTCTACTAATTCTTTTTCAAAAGATAATCTTCGAAAACTATTAGTTCATATGCTTCAAGTACGTTTTCTTTTTAATCATTCTACCGAATAAATATTTGATTGCTATTATTTCTTTGTTCAGAACGACGAAGAACTTGTAACCGGTTTACATGATGCTTATATCGAAAAACAAGCTATTTTGAATCGTATATATTCATAAGTTTTATTCTAACATTTTGTGGTCTAGTCGCTAATTATTACCTGAACTAAGATGGATGTATTATGGAGTCAAGATTTAACAGCATTTCCATAAGCTATTGATGGTGTTTTTTTTTCTAAACTGATCGAACCTTTGTTTTGTTTCTATTCCACATGATATACAGAAGAAGAAAAAAATTGTTTCTTGTATGTAGTTTTCTTATGTCTCTTTCATATAAAAAAGTGATCGTTCCGTTTTTTGATCTCTTTTTTCTTGTTAAAATAAAAAAATGAAATTCATTACAATATGACACCTGCACACCTCGTGTTGTAAAAAGGTCAGCCTGATCAATATTTTGATGAGGGATCGAATTCAAATAATTTACACTGAACGCTTCACTGCATGCATTTTTCGATCAAAAGACATTGATTTATGTAACTTTTATTTGGTATTGTCGTCTTAAATGTTTACTATTAACGATTGGCAGATAAAAACAAATCAAATATATCTTTGGATATCTCAACGAAACAAATATATATGTGTAAATCGACATCACAATAAAATATTTAGCGGTACTATTAGCGTGTAAGTAATTTTTCCTTTTCATATATTCATATATTCATTGTAGTTTATCTAATCGAGTTAAAGCAAGCAATTTCTATGAACGAAACAAAACGATTTAAATTTCCTTGTCATAGACATATCATATACACTTTGGTACCGATATATTTTTAATCACTCGGATCTTTATGTTTTTCTCACAGAAAATGATTCAAAAGAAACCATAGGTAAATACAGGACTAAGAATCCAATTCGCTCCGATGCAAAATACAACGGAAAGCCATTTTAGTAATGCAGAAAATTAGAACTATGAATAAACAAAACATTGTAGTATACACACTGTACGGAATAAAAATAGACAACATGTTTGAGACATAGAAGAAATGGTATTCGTCGAGAGAGTGCTCGTAGATTATAAAGAAGTCAATAATTGCTTTTAATAGTTCAATACACTCTTAAATAATCAGAATAATCTATATCACTAAAAGCAATGACGTCAAAGAAATCGAAAAACCATCATTTTCCTCTTACGTTAGTCTAAGTATAGTCGAATCGAAGTAGGCAAAAACAAGTAACATCGTTCTACTGGTAATTGTATCACAGGAAACATCCATGCAAGGAAATAAATAAATAAGTAGAGTAGCGTATGAATCTAATAAAGTAGATGGTGGAGAGTGCTGGAAACTAAAGCTATAAAAATAAAAAATTGATGAATATTCGTTCGCTCACTTGAAAATAAATCGTATTCTTTATGAAGAATTGATAACTCTTGTTGACAGTTGTAAATCGAAAACGATCTACATTAAACAGCAGCAAAAAGTGTAAGAATCATTAAATATCCACATCCATTTAGGCTAATTTATACATGATGAAATGATTACGCATAGGGTAATGGATTCTTTCTAAGAAATGATAACACTAATTAACGCAATCGTTTTATTTATTTTAGCATTAAGATAGGTCTTAATACGTTAGTACGGATATATTTTCTCGGTCAGTCAATTATTCCTTGGATGAAAGGCATTTTTCAATAGATTTGAATAGTAGTGGGAAGTATTTAAAGAAATTAAGCTGTGAAAATAAATGTAGTTAGATAAAATGAACGATTAGTTTCTATCCCGAATAAGTTCGAAGCTTTTGCAATGTGATTGCTTTCTTTTCTTATGTCTATAATCACAACGATCATTTTCTTTGCTTTTTAGGATAAAACTTTGTGCCTTTACAATGCATATCTGCTGTCCATTTTTTACTATTACTACTTGCCCAAGCATTATGACAATCAGTGGCATTCTCATAATTTGTCTAACTTCACCGGCCAGGCCAGATTTGTTTTGGTTCTCTCAAAATTTCAGCTAAGCTTTTACTCTAGAGTAGGAACATTTTCATAGATGAAGCAACTGTTTCGTACCGATAATTTATTTATTGGTAAATGTGCTCATTAAAGATGATAAGAAAGTGTCTAGCAGCAGGCATTAAATAGAAAAACATTGATTTGAAATTTTTTGCCGTCTATATAAAATATAAACTCATAGTTCAGCAGCCATGTGAAGCTTTACGAGTAGGTGTTAGTATCGTTTTGAGAAATCACGAAAGCCTCTATATATCTATGTGCATCTTTTCTTAAATTTCAATGATCATCAGTATTTGTATTTTTCGTTATAGAAAAAAAATGTTCACACCAACAGTAGACACTACTAAGTTCATCTTTAAGTTTCTAACTTCTAACTAAAATTTTGAAACACCTAACGTTCAGAACCAGCTATTATACCATTAATTTAGAGATCGATATTTCATTGATTTTTACCCAACTCTTTGCATCGAAAATGCCAGAGTCAGCGGGCCTTCACAAGAATGGTTAACAAATCCATCGGTTATACCTCTCAACTAAAATCTATTGCTGTCGGTGATTTTAATGATGATAATTATCCGGATATTGTTGTGGCCAACTAGGATAGCGATAGTGTAGGAATACTTCTTGGATATGGCGACGGAAATTTCAAAAATCCAATGATGTACTCGACTGGACTTGATTCTCGTCCCTACTCCATTGTCGTTGATGACGTAAGTAGAGATGATCGATCAGACATTGTTGTCACTAATTCAAATACGCATAATATTGATGTACCTCTTGGATATGGGAAAGGAAGCTTTTCAATAGGAACACTCTACTCAACTGGAGAAAGCTCTTTTCCTTACTCAGTAACGATACATGATTTGAATAAGGACAATCAAGCAGACGTCATAGTCACAAACTCAGAAACCAATAATGTCTTTGCATTTTATGGATATGGCAATGGAACATTTGCAGAGCCATTATCTTATTTTATGGGCTATGAATCTCATCCATCATCAGTCGTAATTAGTGATTTCGACGAAAATGGTTGGATTGATATTGCTGCTGCAAATTACGGTACTGACAATGTTGAAATTCTTTTTCAAACCTGTTAAGGCAAACTTTGTAACATAAACAGTTCCTTTATATAGTTTTGTTACTTTTCAATTTTTACGTGGAACATATTCTAAATATAGACGATTAAATCAATAAAATCAATCAAATACACATACGTGATGATTGTTGTGTTAAATGATCAGCTAGTAAATAAATTCAGAGATCGAACATGCCTGAAAAGCCCAGATGGGAGCGGTTTCGGTTTCATCTCTGTATTGCGAAATCTAGTTAAGCAAAGATAAATGTCTTCAAATATGGACAGGAAATATCTCATCAATAACGCGTACTCCTTCGTTTCAAAATTTTGTACCTACTCATTGTAAGCATTGGACAGATGTGTTCACTATTTACTATGGCCAAACAAAGTCAGAAGTTTTTCAAGTACAAGTCGGCCTTCCCCAAGGCAGTAGTCTCAGTCCCTTTATATTCGTAGTATACCATAGCGATTTAGTAGCTTGTCTGGGTGCCCACTCAAGCCATATCTTAGCTGACGATCTGAGCGTGCTCATTCGAGCACCCATCCAGAAATCCTTCTTATCCCTAGTCGAGTATTTAGAGGTCGAAGGAAGTAAAATATGCGATAAGATTGCTGAATATTCGATTCGCTGGAAACAGCCAATCAATATAGGAAAAACTGTCGCACAACTCTTCTACTCACAAATTCGAAAGCCTACGGTAGACATATACATGTTAGGACAGAAAATCGCCATTGTAGACTCGTTCAAGTATCTTGGTTTTACTTGGACAAGTAAATTATCATTGAGACCCACTGTAAACAAAAGCCTGGAGAATATCCAAAGATCGTTGGGTAAGCTCAAATGGCTGCGTAGCGGAAAAATTTTGTCCAAAGACACTTTGAGAAGATGCTTCTTCGCGTATATATTTCCCCATTTCGCTTGGATCTTTCCATTTTTCCCCTTTCTCCCAACAACACACCAAGAGGCACTTAGAAGAAAGTATAGAGTAGCAATGCGCATAGTCCACCGTACCCCATTTGTTCGCGCTAAGGACCTTTTGAGTTTTACCCGAGAAGAACCGCTTGATACTTATGTCAAACGTTATATCTCGAAAAGATTAAAAAAGATGTGTTCTTCAGATTTAGGTTCTTCCTTATTTTTTGAAGATGTATTCCTATGGGATAATTTCCATAAGCAAGCTAAAGATGGTGTTGGCCATCTATTTATGTTGAAACGGGTTTAACGTTTAAAGTTAAAACACCGCTCCCTTCTCCTAGACTGGCTTGATTTTAATGAACAAAGTGATAATTAGGAATATAGGAAAGAGGGAACACGAAATCCTAGTTATTAACAGCCACTTAACATTCTAACATTCTACCTTAACCTTTATAACTCCCGCTACTTGTATTCTCTGTTCATCTCGTTACCGCTTTCATTTGCTTTATGTATCTTTATCTTTGTTTCTCCCTTTTTGTTTACTTTACTTTTTTGTTTCTCCCTTTTTGTTTACTTTACTTTTTTGTTTCTCCCTTTTTGTTTACTTTTCTTTTTTTGTTTCTTCTTTTTACTTTTATTTGTTACTTCCTGTCCCTCCCGTCCTTCCATGTTTCTCTGTTTTTGTAAGCACTTCCGAGTGTGACAATAAAAAGAGCATAAACCAAAAAAAAAACAACAGCAGATGTTCACTTACTTATTTACTCTAATTAGCTAATTTGCTTTGTTTTCTTCGTTTTTCTTAATGAATTATTGATGACTTTAATGAAAATCTAAATGAGTTGTGTTTTAGACAAGGAATGATTGATTGATTTAATCTAAGAGAAAACAATAGAAGTGTTGACTAATCATTTACACACATTGTCTCATTTTTGTTAAACCTAGGAGCGAGAGAGTAATGCAGGAATCTTAATGGATGTATGTTGTTAAAAAGTGCTCCATTGATCAAAAGTCATGCATTTTAATGAAATCACAAACTGTATTCATCTATTGAATGCCATAAAAAGCTTTTCTTTAATATGCCATATTATATTCAGTTATTGGCAACGTCCAAGCATTGAAATTATAAAAAGCATCTTTCGCTGACTCTAGATAGTCACCGGTTGATCGAGTAAATACATATATATATAGAGAGAGAGAGATTTATTAAGGACAAAACACGAGGAATATAAATTCAGGTGAAAATAAACTAATTCCAAGTTCTTGGAATAGATTTGCTGCTTTCGACAAAAATATTAAGAAACTGAATTCAGAAAAAGAGATTTCTTTCAATGTATACTCTCGTTTGAATTGATCCTATTTTGAAAAAAAGCAGCATGTATGAAATAAGAATGATAATGATCTATATGAATTATTTTCAGAATAAACTATCATTTATAACACTATTAGTATGGCAATAATGAGTTGTGTGACAGATTTCATTTCATATATTTTCGAATAATGAAAAAACGCTGAAAAGTAACGGATGCGCTTCTCTTAACTATACATAATTTACTACCAGTACGAATAAATTTAGAATAGTAGATTACTCCATTGAAGATTATTGAGTTCTGTTGTCGTATTTTGAACAGATATTTACAATTCAAGAAAGGTCGATATCATCGAATCTTCTGAATCTCGCCATTAACAATAATTGAATTAGTTTGTAAGATATTAGTTACGATAGGATTATTTGTCCTCATGAATACTCAGCGAAAACACGCTATTATCGATTTGAAAAATATCGTCCATTTGATCTTTTATAAATAGTTATTATCTAGAATAATATTGACAAGGATAATCGGAGAAAAACTATTTAAGTAGGTTAGAATGCTATTTATAGACATTTATGATGTTAAAGCAAATTTGTTCTGGCCTAATCATTCATCTGTGATTATTATTTAAAATAATATTGCCTTCGTGCATCAATTAATAGCAGAATTACTCGATGACATTTTTTGCAATGTAAAGCTCCTTTAATTTAAAGAGAAAGTGATCCTGTAAAAAGCAAATCTAGAACTATTTAACTCGTATATGATAAAGTCATTCGATGTCCCAAACAGGTATTGCCAGCTATACAATGAAATCTATGTTATTGTATTGTTTTTTTTCAAATAAAGGATTTCGGCAAGTAGAAGTAATGCTTATACTTTTCCGTATGAATCTAACAAATGAATTGATAAAACATAATAAATATACTTAGTCTATTGTTTGCAAGTAGAACTAGGTGTGTTAGGGTAGAATCAAGACCAAGAAAAATCTCATACGTAATGATCAAGGAGTGTAAAGGGTTATACGATAGATCTCTATTGACAAAATCTGTAGGGAACTAGATAAACCTAATATTTTCTATTTAAATATTACATGAGAATGTATTCAATCTCAGTTTATTTGTGTATACCTTCTATTTCGTTAAACAAAATACACTGCAAAGTTGCCGATAAGAGCATATTAAATTAGAGCAATCCATTGGTATTCTTCTTGGATCATCACATTGAATCACGTGCCTACATAACGAGCATGTTGAGTATCACATGGAATTACTAGTTCTATGTGATTGCATTATTCTGATCATTTATTGAATCATAGTGGATTCATGTTGAAAGTAACCAGACAAGATAACGTGTTATCGCAGTTATCGGTTTGATAATTCCTTGAGTCTGTTTCAGTTACATATGTAAATCATCAATACATTGTTTAAATAAAAAATTGAACTGGCTAATACATGGGTATTTCAAAATTGATATCTGGGCATTTTAAAAAGCTATATAATCATATGCTTCCTATACGTAGCTAGTAGTCAAGAAATATTTGAATATTTAAAAGAATAATTGCAAAAGACACTCCTCTCCCTGGACATTATGATATCTTTTTCATCAATTTTTCAATACATTTGAATTAAAACAAGTTTGATTAGAGTCCAAACTAGTGCGATATTCTGGAAAAAACAACCTATCTTGTTCAATGAATGATTTAAAGAATTTGGAAGTTGCTTTTTTCAACGAAGAATTTACTAATCGTTCTTCACAAAACTCAAACGAAAGACAAATGGTACCAGAATAGCTTTGGAAATTATAATGAAACCGTAACATTTTTTTGACGTTGTTACATGGCTAAATTACTTGAAAATAAAAGAGAAGTTTTCAATGAATCCATTTTTCCTCTTATTTCTAATGAAAACCGTTGGTGACATTTTCAATGGGATCAATAACTTCCATAATAATCTATCCATCGAGCATGGCTTTTGACTGCATTTGTTTTGTATTATCACAGAATAACATACTAATTCTGACTTAAATTTAGCTTTTCCTAATCGAAAACTTCTAATTTTTGGTGATTTCATTTTTTTGATTTAAAATAAGATAAATCTAAAAAATCCCTATGCCTTGTCTACGAGTACATTCCATTGATATCGCATGAAATGCAATAAATAGTTAGTGATTGATGCATAGCATTTGAAGTGATACAGCTGGATTATCAACGTCATATTATATTCATTGTGCTTGTCATGAATGATTGAAAGATAAAAGGAAAATAACATATTTTGTCAAGGCTGTCAGACGAATATTTGGCAATGAAAATTTTCTAATAATATTAATATTGTAAGACTAATGTGTACATGTTTCTTCGAACGGTATTATAAAAATTTCAAGTTTACATTATCTCATAAAATAAAATTTTTGTGAATCATTGATGGATAAAAGTTGTTCGTATAATTTTTAGTATTCGAAAATTTTAAAATTTCTTCTGAACATTTGATTTCTGTGAAAGACATTCATTTATGCTGCCCTATAGATTTGTGTTTGCTCTTGTGACCAAAATATTTACTTCAACAAAATATATTTAAAAGCTTCTTAAAACTTCTAATGAAAATAGCGTTGACAACTACTTATATAAATGTACAAAAAAAAATTCTAAACCAATAAGAATTGAAATTATTCTTTTATAAAGTTGTTGTAAGATGCCTATTATGATCAATTTTAGAATGAATAAAATATGCTCCATACGCTTTTTTAGTATCATTAGTATGATGATTCTGTTCGTTAATAATCATGTGAGGCACAGTGTCAACATCTTGTAGTTCATCTTCAACATCCGAGAAGTCATTAATTAATGCATCATTTGATAATAATTCAATATTGTTATCTATTATAACGTTTTTTTCGATATTCGAAGAATGTTTTTTTGGCTCATCGTTACAATTTGATTGTTCAGATCTTTTTTGTTTCTGTGTTTCATCATGTTTACACATAATTGCTGAACATGAAGGTTTCGAAAGAATATTTTCACAGTTATTTCGAAAACTTCGATTTAAAAATGCGTATAATAATGGATTAATTGCTGAATTTAAGTAAGCAAACGAATGTGCAACAGCTTTGAAGTAATACAAAAAAGCTGTTCTTCGATCAAAAAAGTTTGTCGGCACAATATACAATGTAATAGGCAACCAACAAAGGGAAAAGACAAGCGTAACAACTGCAACCATTTTTGTTACGGTTCGACGTCGTTTAGACCATTTAACAGGACTAGACACCTATAGAAATGTGAAAAGCAACGAACATATTGATGAAAATCGAAAAGAAAAAGAATTTTGTTTTCGCATACCCTTCTTGTTTTCAATTTATTCTCGTTTGAATAAACATAATAAAGTAATTTAGCATAACAAATAAGAATAATTGCTAATGGAATAAAATAATACAATGTAACCGTATATACTCGAAATCGTTTTTGTAGCTCTTCCTCTGTTAACAATACACATTGCCTATAATTAGCATCATTAATAACACCATAATGAAAATAGCATGGCGAAGCAAATATGCACGAAACTAAAAAATAAATAAATGTGGAAACTTCGGATTTCATCCGAGAGTTATGTGTACTGCAAAAAGTGCATGCGACATATGAGTCATTCTAGAATGCCTGAACACGAAAATTATCATGAGAAACTAGACAATTTGATTTCTGGATGGAGTTTTTGTGAATTTTGAGACGTTTTTCAGGCGATGTTTCGTTAGAAAGCTATGACTTAGTTCAAAACTAATATCAGATTTAGAATCAGCGTTAAAAACTGAGTCGATTTATATATGTTGTGAATAATTCTGAGAAAATTTTTTTTTTGAAAAAAATTCCCTGTACTCCCCCTCAGTGATGGTCTGATCAAAAATGACAATTTTTTCAACAACTCAGCCATTTCTTGGCGGATCCTTCTCATCTTCGAACTCGACCTAGATATTGATAAGACAATTCTGTGCACAAAATTTCAGCTCAATCGAATGTAATTGTGAAGAGTTATCGAATAAATGGACGGCCGGACACACTGACCGATTCTATAGTGTACTCTTTTTTTTTGAGTACACAAAAAACAAGAATAGAAATGTCAACTTCATTAAGATCAGTAACGAATAGATATCATTAAAAACAAAACTTGAATTATGACATGATAAATACGATTATAATTATATAGAATAACAAGGAAATAGATGTTATACTTACGCAACCAAATGATTAAACTGAGTAGAAAGACTGTTCTTGGTTTTCGCCATTTAATATCTTCAAATGGATGCACGACATAAATATACCGATCAATAGTCATTATGACTAACGTAAGGACAGTAACCAGAACACTGACAAATGAAGTAAAATTGAGAAGTTTACAAATGGTTTGATTGAAGTACCTTATAGAAGAAAATAACAACAATAATTAGAAAATGTTTTCATTTATGTTTCAAATTCTGCGTGCGTTTACCAATGTTCAAATGTATATTGAACAACTAGGAATGGCATACAGAATGCCAAGAAGACAATATCAGTGACAGCCACTAAAAACAAGATTTCAATTCATAATATAATCAACTTTAGGCAAACATCGTATAACGCACGGTTTACAATGAAACAATTAGTAACGTTGCTGAATTTTTCGTACCGAATTGCAACAACTATAACGAGAGTATTGCCTAATAAAATATAACAAAAAAGAAACGTGAAATTATCGTATTGGGAAAAGCAAATAGTATTTTATTTCACCTATAATACCAGCAACAGCAATTAATACCCAAGCACTAGCAAAAACAAGTCGTGTATGCAGTGATGGACCATCATCATCATCATATCCACTTGAACTATTACCATTATTCATGATAGACACAGAATTGTTTATAGTTAATGCATTAATATATTTATTAATTATGTATAAACTGTCAACGTGAATGATATCATATACAAATTAAATTATTCTAGAAAGATATAAAAGCGAACATCTCATGTCTCGATATATAATTCATATGAATGTCAAACGAGAAAGCTCCTTTCATGTTGTAATCTTATTAATGAGCGGCTCCTGAAAGCTTTTGTGCTTGTGATAATAGATGATAATATTTAAAACGAAAACTAGATAATGTTACTATGACTTAACGTGCCACTAGGACGTTTGAACAACATCAAATACGTAGTAACTATTAGCTGGGTAAGATTACCTTATCTAATAGTTATTTACTATAATGTGGAACAGTTTTTTAAAAGAAATCTTGACTGATTGATACTAACCATGGAAATGAAATGATGTGAACAAAAGAACAAGAAACAGATAAGTGGATTACCTGAGGATATGCACTTAAGATAACTACTATTTATAGCAGTTTTTTATTGTTTTTTTTCTAGTTGAAAAAAATCAATTTCCTTAATAAGAAAACGTGTTTCTTATCGTATTTTTCTTCTTCTCTATTATTAATGTTTTCGACTAAGATCTTGAAAAATCTTCCTATGAAAAAAGATACATCTTTGGTTTCCTGAAAATTATAATCGGATGATCGTCAACATGCGTTTATCTCACAGTAAGGAACGGAAAGACTCATCTTACTAAGAGAAAAACGAATAGAAAAGAGAACCTAATCAATACAAACTCTAGCTAATGTATCAAAGATAAGGGCTTTGACGCATGATTTCAATCGTCAAAATACTACATTGATGGATTTGGATCAAGCTAGACTAAAAATATAACATCTATTTTCTTTGACAGCTGCGATCTGGATTGGTAATATCAAAAATAAAGGTCCTATTCAATAAGAAAATTTCTAAGCCATACCACTGTCAACTTATTTTCTTTTGATCTCATCATTATTTAAAGTATACGACAAATGATTTGCTTTTTTTCCATACGAATAGACGCGATAATACAAAGGATATCTAATTATCCACGCATGCTACGAGTCTCTTCAAACAAAGTCCTATTTCAAAGAACACGCATCAATAACCATAATATTTCTAAAAATATCGTTAAAAATAAAATATAACATTTAAGACTTTTCGATATCTATATATATATATATTGATCAAGATCAATATCAATTTAATAATTTTGTTTTGATCTGAATTTATAAACTAAATTGTGGTCGGTAATATCTTCAAGAACTAATACAACGAGACACAATGACATGACTATAGATAAAAGAGAAAAAAGCGGAAATGGTTATCAGTTTCCGTAATAAAATTCAAAAAGGAAGAAAATGAGCTATAATCTAGTGAAGATTTGGTTGATGATCAAGTGACAACAACCAGGGACGACGCGAAGTAATAAAAATATAGGGGGGTTACTTGAAAGCGGGAGGATTTTTTTCAAAAATCGGAGTAAATCAATAAAAATCTCTTCTATTTTCTTCAAATCGGAGTAAAATTGAAACAAAAATTTCCAAAGTTGGGGAGGGAAGGGGGGGCAACCCCCCCCCCCCCCCCCCCCTTTCGCGTCGTCCCTGACAACAACACAACTCAGCGAAAATATATCGGTCGCGAGAAGAAGAAGAAAAACAAGAATTACTTACTGTACAGAGAATTTTCATTTTCATCTGTCAATACTCAAGTCACTACGCATCAATTGGATGACATACACAAAATGACAAAAGGAAAAAGTTGGAGTAGTATTGGTAAGTGAATATCTTGTGTAAAACTCATGTTCCATAGATAAAGGAACAAATACCGCCCACCAAATGGTGTCAACATTGATGTGTACATATATTTATTATACTTGTTTATTTTCTTTCAGGCATTATTTATGATTTGTTTTTTTATCTGTCTCTGATTATTTTTTCACTGTAAGATGAATTCCATCATCAATAGTTAGAACGGGTTCTTCGGGGAAAACAGCGGAAAAAATACAGGAAATAAATTTAATGAAATCTTTCACGGTGCTTTTCTTGTGGGTTATTAATCTTCGTTGTTTATGAAACATCAAAGACGTGCCGGAAATTTAAAGATAATACAATCACGATTCCAGAAAATTTCAACGGGACTGCTATATCTCCAGCGAGTTATTCATAAAATGTGACATTCAGAATCCAGCTGCGAGAATGGCGACACTAGAAAACATCGTGAATCAATCTGCCTCATTTCTATCGTATATTTAGACATTAATGACTATGATGTTCATATCTGTTATTAATTTGTGTAATCAAAAAACACACTGTTCTTGGTTTTCCTTTGATTATGAATAATAATCATGGTGGCGTCTTAATGATAAACATAAGAATGAATCGATGATGTCTTCTATTTCTTGTATATTATTCTTAAAAATCTCTTGAGGTAATAACACATAACAAATTGATGAAAGAAAAACAGTACACTTGACTATACCAGAGAATTTCATCAATACAAGCGTAAAACAAATCTGTAGAGAACGCAGATAGGCAATAATTTCTGTATCTAAAAATAAAAAGTCCCATGTATGTGCTAAAACTGATCATATCATATTTTGTACTATGGCTACTCATCTATAGGAAAAAAAAATTCATTTATTATTTTTTTCAATCTTACTCAAAAGAGCATCCACTTATTATTCCTGCACTTGTCTCAACTTAATCATTATTCTAATTTTTTTTAAAAGCGTGCTTCTATTGTGAAGTTCAAAGACATTTACTACCATTATACTAATTGTCCGGAAGAGCAATGACATTGAGTCAATATTCTATAATATATTGATAATACAAAAAAAAATGAATCTTCAGTTTTCCTTGGCCGATCTGTAAAATGATTAAATTCTTAAAGTTTTATAGTTGAATAACTTATCCATAGGGAGGGAAAAAAACAAACAATTCGTATTCAAAGTTATGACGAGAACGTTTTATATGATTGCGATAAGCATCAATTAATAGCTGCAAATCTGGAGGTACAATTACAATATAATAAACAATATCTTGCAATTTCTTTTCATAGTCTCTAAAATGTCGTATCTTTCATGATCTTTACTAAATAAAATATTATTCCAGAACATATACCGACGAATAACATCGATGAATAGGAAAAAAATGCACGCATATACGTATATAGAGTTATGTTGTTATTTTTTTTAATGAACCATTGATTTATATATTGAAAACGATATGTTGAATGAATCATAAACAATGTAAGCTTTTCACTTTTAATGAAGAAAAAAAATTCTATTATGTTTCAATCGATGAAAATAGCGTAAGCAAATACTGTAGGGAGTCAAAAGCAACGATTTCAAAAATTATATCTTATTAAATATGCCAAACAATGACAATTGAGTTTATCTCTAAATTTGTGATCGATCAATAAATTTTTATAAATTTATGATATTTAATCTCTAAAGATAAAAAAGCATGTTTAGTATGACTCACACAAGATCAAGCTAGATAAATTAAAATGGCAAATCTTCATATGTGTACATAGTAGATGTAAGAATCCTGTTAAAAACTTCGACAACTTTCTTGAAGCCAATGATTTTAGATGTAAACAGTTTATCTTGATGTTATCACTTCAAGTATAAAATGAGAACATTCCTATATCACTAGGGGGGAGATCAATTTATTTAGTTTACATACAATATAGATATACTAATTATTCTACCATGCTGATCTTTATAATCTATTCTATAGTTATTTCTAACAAATTTTTGTCTCATCTATATAGTTATATATGATGTCTTTGCTTATTAGACTACGATGTATTACTTTATTCGTTCTCTTATTTATTAAGAATGAAGGCTTTATATTTCGTAGTATCATTATAGCACGATCTAGTCAAACTAAATTTGATTCATTGTTATAATAAAAAGATACTTGATTCTTTTAAAAGACACGCCTGAAATCAGATGGTAAAAACATGAGATGACTTATATTTCTTTCGTATTTCTGTCAAAGAATTATTGTAGGGAAGAATGAGTAGTTTTCAATTTTAGATTATAGTTCATGATTTATTGTTTAAAATGTTGCTAGAAGAATGTTTAGTTCAGATATAGTAAGCTAATTATATTTTTAAAATAGTTTGAATATGTAAAAAAAAACTATGTTCTTAGGTTCTATAAAAGAAATGAGTTTGCATCTATTTTCTCTTATAAGAAACAATTACAAATATCTAGCTATATAATCTCATTAATAAATCTATAGGCCGTATTTCTAGGAAAGCAAAAAATTTTGCATCGCCATTTTCTTAAGATTTAGAAATATTTAAGTTATTAATTTTCAGATGATAATATTTGTCAGTATAAAATGCAAATTATAATTGTATCGTCTCATATTTGACCAAAAGCATTTCAATATGATTTTGTAGAAAATTTTTCTAGTTTTCTCATTTATTCAACATAAAAAATGAGAATATTTCTTCGAAAATAAATAAGATGCTTATTTTGTTTTTATACAAAACAAATTCCATAGCTAAATCATTTGTGTAAACTTGTAGGCAGTATTCATAAAACCCCTCAGTCTATATCAAACAATGTTTTTATTAAAAAAATTTGTCTCAAAAGACCAACTAACAATAATCTATGCTTTCAGGCTGAAACTAAAACTTGTCGATCAAGAACAGTACTTGTACACTATATAATCTGTAATAGAAATGACCAATAATCTTTTAACAGACAAAAGTGACTCTCGATAATGTTACTACATTGAAATATAAAAGAAATCCAATTAAGACAAAATACTTGCCCCATTCGTGAAGTTTGATACTTAAATGTTTGTAATTATGAAGATGTTTTGTTGTTGTTATTGCGTAAAAGAGTTCTATAACCGTAAAGAATAAAAACAATGAGGCTTTTAAAATCTAAATGGATAGGGAAGCTGAATAACCATGGTAACGAGTTAATTCAGCATTTTAGAGTCAATTCTTATTCGGTTTCTATTAAAAATA